CTTTGTGAGTGCTTGTCTCAGCGGGTAATCTTTCTTCCACAATAACACTTGGCAGCTCCTCTGCTAACCCCCCATCTTCATCGTGTGATGCTGCTTCCATTGGATCAGCAAACTCCTCTAGGTTCAATTCTCTTTCTATTCCCATCCGTGCACTCTTAACCTCCTCAGTATTTCCAGGTTCACAAGACTGTGTGTGATTGCACTCAATATTATTATTATTGTTATTATTATTATTGTTTCCTACCTTTTGGTTGTTTGGAGGATCTGTCTCATCTATTGTTATAACCGGTAAATCTCCTCTATATGCATTACCCTTCGGCAAAAGGGTGTCCTCCTCCTGATCTGTGACATTAAAATCACTTTCTTGAGATTCACGTGATTCACTGTTTTTAGTTACAGGCCTCGAGTCAAGAGATCCGCGGTCTGAAGACTTACTTGCCACATCAATTGGTTGGGCTTCCGCCAGTCGATGTGACCCTTCTGTTGATTCCAAAACGGTGATTAATGCTGGTCCACTTTCTGTTTCTGAACTCATTAAATCTTTAGATGGATGACTATCCACAATGGATGATAGAGTGTCCTCTTTTATGACTTGTGATTCAATAAGGGAATGAGTAATCTCAGATTCCGTTGGATGACTCGGGGTAAACGTTTTTCCAACTTCAGAATTCTCTGAATTTTCTAGGCATCTTTCAGTTGCGCTAGAATTAATAGTTGATTCTGGGGCCTCATCCACTAGGGAGGTTTCTGCTTCGCACAGCGTCATCCCATTGTCTGAGGGCCTGTAACTATCGCTCTCTTTTTCATCCATTTGTGAAATAAGGTGAATGGAGTTGATAGGCCAATCATCATTAGCTAAATCACCTGGCACCTCTTCGCCCAAAGAAGACATGTTCGCGGAGCCCTCTCGAGAGGATTGATCAATATCATCCATTATCTTCAGTCCTAGGTAATCAAAAGGGTATTGACTGGGTGAATAAATGTATAAAAGGAGGTGTTAATATGGGCTCCGGAGAGGAGACGCGATCAATACCCAATTTTGCGCCAAGTTGAACTTTCATAACGCGGGATTTCTCGGCTAGAAGCCATTCTCACTGCAGCGTGTACACGAGCCGCGCGAGCCAATCATTTTACTCTTTCGTGCTCATGACAGACTGCGCGGACCAATGGGATGCGAGGGCTATTGGTGAATTGATTGGAAAAAGTAGGCGTTCGCACACGTCCGACTTAAGCAAGGCATTGCCCACTATTCGGTCTAGGAAAACTGGAAAAGGTTAGTCTCAGGTTTCGGAAACATGCAGAATAAGAAGAATAAAGCCAGATGGAGTTAAGTAATGGCAATAAAATGGCCAAATGTAGTGAATGTGTTAAATGAGACTAATACATAGACCAGTCGTATACCGTAGAGAAACTGCAATTCCGCAAATTCAATGGTAAATATGAACCAAAACTATAAGGCATGATGCTGCAAAAAATGCATATTTGTAACGGTGGTAAGCTTATTCCAGGTTAGTAATCGGAAATACAGTTTGTCTCTTTCAGAATTTTTGTAAAGAAGAATGTGTAATTGTAGAAATTGAGAATGCATGCTAGGACGCTGCGTTTAAAGCACTGATGCTGTGCGAATGAGGCCAGGAACGACAGTGCAAAACTGGGAGTGTAATCAAAACTTTTTAGCTTTATCCTCATAATCCCGTTTCAAAAGAACGCACGTAAAATGGAACTCTAGTTAATGCACGAAATTTTAATGCTTTACCTGGAATTACGTATGCGTGTCTTAGCAGCACCATTGGTGGTAATGATACTGCATGCAAACTGTGTGTGACGGCATTGCGCATGGAAACGGGATTTGGCAGGATATGTCGCATCCTAATTTTTGTACTGCTTAGTGTAAATCTACTCTTTTATACCAAATTTCATGAAACTACCAACACCGACTACTCACGTAACGCCCCAGTAATCTGCTATGACAAAAGCAACTTGAAATGGCCATACAACTAGATGGTGTTTCAGGAAGGCGACCATTACAGACCGAATTACCGCGCTGGAAGGTGCTACTTCATGGTTAGATAGATTAATCAAGTTTAGTACTCAAAGTGGTATCTATGGGGAAAATCGCCTGGAACGTAAGTTCAACCTGCTCTCTTGCAAAAAGCCAAGCGACTTGCTTGATGCATTAAGAAATAAATAAAGTATTTAGTAAATAGAACGAAAGTGTCTCAACATTTATAGTTAAGGATATACTAAAATGATTCCGCATTTAAACTCATAAAGCACTTGAATATTTAAAATTTAGAAACTTCGAGATAATTTGATTGTACATATTCAGCATCTTTTTCACCATATTAAAGTAAATTTTGCCGTAACCCAATACATTGTATTTTCAAATTGGCGGACCCGGCACACTCGCGCTTTCAATATTCCATTCAAAGGCGTCTGATAAGCAAAAAAAAATAATTACCCCAAAATCTACATTTCATCAGATTTATTAATGGTTTTCACACCCAAACAGTGGTGCTTTCTTAAAACGCGCAAAAGCACGTTCGAGTCTGGCTTGCTCCACTAAGTTTTACACGTCCCAATTCGTGCAAATGGCAGTTAAGTGTGGCTGCATTTGCACGCACCTTCTTCAAAAAGTTTATCTAATTGGCTGATGTCATTTTTACCCGAAGAGAATGTTAGAATCGCAAATTTCTATTGAAACTGGAATTGTTGCATGTGAATGTTCCGACTGCTATTTGCATGTCTTCGTGCCATGGGACAAAAATAGTTCCAGGCTCTTCTCGCTATATTTCTTTCCTACACCTAGGTTCCAGAATGTGAAAGTATAAAAAATCACCTGAATGCGGAGAAGATCTATGCAATCGGATGTCACAAAAAGCGAATCATTTCCGGCATTAAAATCGCTATTTGTCCAAAGAAACACGGTACTTACCCAAAAAAAGCCATCAATCTGAATAGAGTTCCTAATGACTTGGAATGGAACGCCTTGTATTCAGACATGCAAGCCTTTAATGCTTCATTTATTTGTCCTCTGAACAATGGGATGGAACAGATTGAACAATAACTTTCCAGCAAAAATGCAAGCATCTTTTATACTTTAAAAATGAAAAAGAACCTGGGCTATAATAGCGAAATCATCGAGTTCATTGGTTTCCTGTCATATCTCATTTGTCGATCAACTTAATTTTGAGTCCACTTTCGGGCTAATAATTGCCTTGTTTGCAATTTGTGATAGGAATGAAGGAGATGTAAATCTTAGCAAAATCAAGTAATTGATGAAAAAGATTGGTGATTTTTTTAGCCTCTTTTTTGCTATTCATTAAGTTGAAGTGCGTTACCATCTTGCACGAACCGTTTTAATTCTTATTACCTCCAAGTAGTCTGGGGCTACAGTTCTACGCCAGAAAGCATAGCAGGCGCACGGACTTCTTATTAATGTTTGCTTTATAGAATGCGGCTGGATGCCCATTTTGCTATGCAGTGAAAAGTGATATAGCGCACTTGAAAAATAAAATACATCTGAATTTTTCGGACGAATCCCCAAAAATCCAGCATCAAACTCGGATCCTACAAAACGATCAACTAACAGACCTCTAAAATTTTACGGGGAAAAAATGGGACGCAATTATTCTTCCATGGCGGCTTATGTCGAAATTGCAAAAAGATTGCGTGTTAAGTAGAACATTACATCTTTTACACTTGAAACATGCGTACCAACTGCAAGTTTTAAAGGTGGCACAACTTCCAGAATAACTACTTTACAGTTTTGTAGCATTCATGCAAATGAGAAACGATTTTAGGGCGTTTGAAGCATTTTACGCAGAAAAATTAGGAGAATCAACAAAGAAATGGGAACGTTTAAAGATGATTCGTCATTCAAGCACCTAACCATTGCATCTCAATGACATGCCCGTATGCAGCCATTTCAGGGTATTCGTCTTATACATGGCTCGGTGTCGTAGAAACATAAGCGTCCCTCTGGGATATTTGCTACACTACACACCCGACAGTTGTTCTAGTACAGTATATTACCAATGTATCACTGACTATTTTTTCCATTTAAAACGAAAACTACATATGAATACGAAAATCCTCTTGAACCTTCCCAAGTCAACTAGATTAGAGAAACAAACACATATTTTGCCACAAAACCATGACTAAACGTTCGTGCACTGACCTTTATACACTGCCGAAGTTACTATGACATCAAGTAGGCAATTTATCTCCTCCGGTCATCAAGTGAGGTTTTATATGGCTCTTTTGGATTTGTGCACCCATTGTGGTGAGACAATTTGCTTACCTACGAAACAGCCATTAAAGCCTTCCAATCTCAAAATTTTATCACGATGGCCAAAATAGCCCGTGCAGAAGTAGCAAAGTAGCGATTTTGTATCGGTAGTGGAGAGTGCCAGTTTTCAAATTCTGCACAATGACCCTTAAATCAAAGGTAAATGCTCTGTGTTGACTCATTTTAGCATTCAAACTGCCGTTTGACAATTTATGCGTAGAATTAAAAGGTCCTCTCATAAAAGACACCGTAAGACAGTAGTGGAATAGATGAGTATCGGAATAGCATAGACCAAGAAAGAAACTCACGTTTATGCTCAAACATCAGTGGATTTAACTATCTCACTGTCACCATAAATTGTTATTAAATGGATTTCCTGTTAATTTGTAACCCACAGGAGTTTTCACTTCATTTTCGTAACTTCCATTTTGGGAGGCCATTCTACAAAATACTTCTGAAATTCAATTAGGTTCTTTGATGTGAGAGTAGGAAGGCGGCACCTCGTTGTTGACCTTGCAGCCTATTTTAGCCTAATAATAAATAAACACCCGATTGTGGGCATAGTTTTTAGGATCTCAAGCAAATGACGGACGCAGTCGGGAGAAGCATTTTGCATTTTGAGGTGTTGCATCACTTCGTTTTGAGGAATTGCGCAGTTAGCTTTAACAAAGTGAATTAGAGAAACAAAATTACGGAAACAAAGATCTTGAAAAACAGTAATTCCTTTGCAAAAATATTGAATTTGAACAGGTAATGGTTCTTTGAATGTCATTACGTCCACATAACCGAATCTGCACTACTAGACTTCGGTTAATTTCCTTTCCACCTTTTGATTTCGAAGCCAGTTTGGGATTCCGACAAATAAACCAAGACCTTTTGCCATCACCGTACCAAAAAACGTCGTAGCCATCGATTTATTAAATTTGAATGCCACAATTAGTTATTTTAGATTCTTCAGTCGTAATTCGAACATTGTGTCATGACTGAGTATCGTATCCTTTGGATTGGTCCATGTGAAATATCCACCTTTGATTGTACACAAAACGAAGGGGAGTGCGATTTTACTTCTCAACTCTCCTCTGACAAATCAGCAAGAGAAGGGTGAGGATGGTGGTCTGGAAATTCTGCTGCCTCACTTCCCTGTATTGGCCTAAAATACTTCAGAGTACCCACGCACTGCCTTGCAGATTATTCTGCGATATAGGGCTAATGTGGTGAAGGCAAATGTTTTCACTTTGGCAAAAGTACTTCTTGGTGCCATCCAAAAGTTGAGCGATAGCGAGGCCAGTCATGGCAATAATGACGGAAGTGAGCTATTGAGAAGTGATTAAGCCTCTGATTTCTCATTTTCCCATTGGCAATATAATGAGTTCACTAAGGTTAAGCCAAGTAATGCAGTGCGCACTGTAATGCACAAATGTAAATGTGTGAATGTTTCAAGTACTTCACTCCACCAAAGCCCTCTTCTTTCATTATCTGCTTTCCCTCGCAACGGTGCTTGATAACAAATACGTAATTCTAATAGAGGTCTGTCCACGTAAAATATGAATTAGATTTGACTGGAAACTGACCGATCACCGACAGCTAATAAATTTGATGTTTGGGCCACTGCTCAAGACACCTGCTTTTACAGTTTCCTACAGGGGGATTGAGGTACTTAGCCCTAGGGTGACGTTATGTTTTAGTAAGTCCTGCTATTTTGATTGCGACATTTTTGAGACCGCTTCCACTTCGCTTTACTTTCCTTGAGCGCACAAACCATCCGGCTCCATTTACCAAAATCCAAAACACTAAAATTCAAAGACTATCGAATTAAGCTTATTCATTGGTTTTTTTCTGTTGTTACTGACATCTCTATAGAAAATAAAAATTAATTTGCCGTCCTTCGTCAGCGGATAGTAAATGGGGTCGATTAAGTGCGCTTGAAGGCCTATTTTAAAGAGTCGGAGTTGATGAATTGGTGACGCCTCAGTAGGATATACCGATGTCCAGTTGATTAAATGCATCATTTGGTGAAATGTTTCATCGCATTAAAAAATGACAACACTCATAGTTGTCGTTGCTTACTTACTATTGTTTACAAAAAACCAATGTTTTATTGAAATTGGAATGCATATGACGTTAACACAAATGGGAGCGGGGTAACTTCACACTTAGTTGTGACACTGTGGTGGAGATAAAAAAGGTCTTTATGTTTAAAGTGGGGCTGTCGTTCTAGAGAAAACCGAAACTGATTAAATTTATATTCGAAATGTATATTTTATAGATTAAACTATTGGCATTCCTATAAAATTGGCACTATTTTATTCCAGGTGTTAACTAACTACCTGCAAAGCCGTATTATTTGCAGATTACCTTACCTTTTAGTGGTCCTAAAATTCGCAGGAATTCATGAATTCTTGCTACAATTGAAAAAGGCGATTTCAAGTGCCATTTTAGTTAAGTGATTGGAGTTTGTCTCGGCTGGAGAAATTGTGCTAAGCTATTTGCTAAAAACTTAAGGGCAATTGTGCGGTGAAACTCTCGCTGAATTACAGCTGCCTAAAAGGAAGGTTGCATTTGCTAAAATGTGCTTTTGGCTATACAGTACAGACTTTCACTCTAAATATGTGCGCCCACCGTTTAATAAGCAAAAAGTAGGGAATTTCATTCCACAGAGACTAGCAGCGTTTTATTTATAAAAACACGACTAAGGATCTATTTATGCTATGATGACTGTAATGCGTCGCCTCCCAGTTTGAAACCAATACGCGGCCAGACGTAAAAGCCAAATTCTCTTAATTTCGCCAAACAATCGCAGTATCCTAATTATGTAAATAAGGTTGAATAGAGCAATTTTTTCTGATTATTCTCACATTAACTTCTCCGGAGTCGAAAAATACGTGCTTACTTTAGCTTTCGTTTATTTTTATATGGTGGCGCTTCCATTCATTCTCAATGTGTAAGGTGTATAAAGCAAAAAATAAATCTAAAAGTAAATACTTGCACGAACAAATAATTAAAATGACGAATAAGCAAGATGACATAGGCTGCATTTTGATGTCAAAATCAAATACTGAACATGTACGAGCTAGGTTTACTTAACAAAGGGGTACCTGGTTAAACATTGACCGCCAGATTGATTTGCCACTTAAACATTTTAAAGGGTTCACTTCCTAATTTTGAGCACCACGAGTCCCGTCTCGGGTCTGGAGGCATGCTATCACCTTTGCCACATTCAGCGTATTAAAAAATAGCCCTATAAAAACTGTTGTTTGGCCCCCAGAATGACGCGTTTCGCTGGAAAGACTGCAGCACTGACAAATAAACAATTATTTTACCATGTAATGTGACTTGGTGCTACGACATGGAAATAGGTTTGAATTAGATGAATGTGGCCCAATTAAGCAGTTCGCACCTCAGTGGAGCCTTGTACCGACGCCAGAAATGCCCTTTGCACAAGACAATAGTGGTGTTAAAAAAAGGGCAACACTAAGAACCTTATGCTCCTTATGGATAATTTTGGGAAGCTTTGAGTAGGAGCAGTAGAATTTGAAACAACATTAATCTGCGCAAAAAGTATGGTATTTGAACATTATCATCGAGTCATGTTAAAGTAGCTACATAGAGTTGGTTTGTTCAGCAAGAATATAACGTAATACTTATGTTGTTTTAATGTACCTTTCAGGGAGGAGGCAACCTGGAAATTCGAATCTGGTGAGAGGGTCATCGCCTTCCGTGCCTAGTTGAGATTGCGGTTCTTCCCCTCCCTAAACATTGTACTTTTCCTCCTGATCTTTCCCCCTTAATAAAGATGTCAAAATCAAATCAACCGGGCTGTTCTAGGAACACTAGGAACGGGGTAGAGGAGACCGGTGAGTCTCGCCCTACAATAAGTACGTCCTTCGTCACTCCACCCATTGTGCAGAGAGATCGTGCAAACGCTTAGGTCCAGTCCCTTAGCAAGCACCTCGTTGCCTTCTACGGCTATTTCTCAGGTAGCACGATAATTTGTGCGATTTGGCACCATCAAGGCATTTCCTATATTTGCAACAGCGCTAGCTAATACGCTTTTAGTTTGTGGTGTAGAATAAGCAGCGGGCTTAAATTTTTCTCTGTAAGAAAATCAGCTATGACGCCATACATTGGAAATGCAATTAATGCTGCAATGAGTCGCAACTCACTATGATCCATGAATATTTAATGTTTAGGTAAATAAAATGCCATATAGAATACAAATTGATTCAGTGAGATATGATGAGCATCAATGTTCTACAGCTAACTTTGAGGCTTAGCCATTTCGTTGAAAAGAAAGTGGTTTTAACTTTTCGCATAAGGTAATTTATTTTAATTTGATGTCAACATCATTACTAAATTTACATACCCGAAACATCATATGGCTTGCATGAACTTTTATATTCCTAGAATTTAACTGCTGCTGCATCAAGCTCACATTTTAATACAGGGAAAATTTCGAGATTACCAAAATGGCAACTGTAAATTGAGGCGAAGATCTTGCTTCGCTTTAATCGGTCAGCAAAAAAATATCTGCTTTGTACTTGGGAAAGGCTAAAAATCAGTAGACTAATCATTCCACTGATTGATAAATATGCATACAGATTACACAAGCATCAGAAACGATACAAATTTCAGGTTCAGTTGAAACCAAAAAATTAATCTTTGAAGGATCAGCAATCCAAAATAGCAAATATTTAGTGTTTGTATTCACTTACAAGAACAAATAGTTTCATATAATGATTACGACAACCTGTGTAGAGCCCCGAGACTTCCCTGAAGACGAAAGAAGACATAGTACTCAGGCGGAATATGTATATCCGACATACAGAAGGTATTAGGGCTAGTGGCATGGCCCAAAGGCCAGCCTACCCGGCGAGGTGCAATAGTCAAGACAAAGAGGCCCTTCATTAGAACCGAGGGTTAAACAACCAACGTGCTACAATCAGTTTAACGCTTTGTTTTGGTTTTTCTGGAACTACAGGCTCCGCACTCGAATTTCCACTAAGTGACAAGGCCTAGGGGTCATGTCAATAGGTCTCAGCCCCTGTGTTCACCAGTAATGCATATTCTGCCTTGGTAGTATGTCTACTTTCGTCCTCAGGAAAGACTTAGAGAGCACAATTCATCACTATTTAGGAGGCGTAGCTTTCCCATTTACTTGTAGCCTTACAGTTCTTCTGTACGCTAATGGTAAAGCGCTCATTTCTACCGGATGACTAAGGCACTAAAAAGCACACATGGATATCTTGAAAAAGAATTATTTGGTCGCATAATCCGAATTTGTATGTAGGATACCAGATTCAATAGCGAAAACGCCGATTGAGGATCGAGTGTTCGCATCTTGGGGGTTTGTCCACCTATGCCTTTCAAGCAGCAAATGCCTTTCGACACGTATATCATCTCGGTGGGCATCAGTGTGGATGCCTAGAGGAGCAACTTTTATTGATGTATTTGGGTGAAAAGGTTTTGTATGCAGTGGAGAGTCTAAAGGTGTATTGGGGGATTATAAGGGCGCAACTCCTAAAAGTAAGCAGAATTTGTTTGTTCGATCCCTTATTTCGGGCTAATTTTACTAAAGCCATTTATTGGAGGCAATGTCTCGAAAAAACCGAGTGCCCATAGCTTGGGATATTAAATATGAGTGAATTATAAAAGTTTACCACACTTTGTCACTTGATGATGTTTTCTGTGAACATTATATGTCAGAATTGTTTTTCAAATGCACTCAAAAGGTAAATAGTCATCCTCGTCAAATGTAAGATAAATTTAGAAATCTACTTCTCCTGTAAGGAAAAATGCCAGCACAGATCAGCTCGAAATTCCCCTAAAGAAATATAACTCCGAGTATTTCCAATAGGTTAATTAATGTTACAGCTCCTAACGATTCTGGTGTAATGGTGCGCTGTTCAGAAAGCGGGTAGTTTAAGAGGTCCAGAGGCTTGCCAGCTTACCGTAGGTGAGTTTTATCGCGTTTCCATGTTATACTGCACACGAGGTGCTAACTCGAGTAACTGGCACCTGATTTGTTGAAAAATACCTGCATTCTGCGTGTCTGGTTCAATGATATACCTCATCGAATTAGTTCCACATTTTATTCAGGCACGTTCTGTATGCTAGCAAAAGCTTGTTTGCTCATTGCGATTCTACTTATGCATAGTTTTTAGTTGAATGACATGAGTTAGGCTACATTCTATAATTTCCTATGTTGAGCAGTCTGCTTGTCGTTCAGGGTGTAAAACGGATTTAGAATACTCCATTTTACATCGGGGCAGTCATGCGAATCTTCAGTCTGAAATGAGGTTTTTCATCACTTGTTTGTTTTTAAAGGGCGAACTCACAACATTCGCAAATTTTAATAGGCTTCTGAACCTCGAGGTGCAAACAAATGATTTTGCCTCCGTTTATGTACGAACATGCAAACATCCAAAGAAGGAATTTTTTCTGTTACCTTGATTAACAATCCAAACTTACCGTGGTGTTAATTGCTCTTTGTCGCAGCGTGCAGTTATTAAGGTATGAATCCGTAGCCTTTACCAGATAGTCACCCTAATTATTTTTTCGCACCTACGATGAAGTTTTGGCGCTGTGAGTGGCTTTCATGGAATAATTTGTATTTTGAAAAGCATTGCTGGATATATCAGCGGTACAGAGCTTTTACTAGTAACTTAGACAGTGCGTAAATGTAGATCTAATTATAAGAAAAGTAATGATGCCCACTTTACAAGCTTGTGGGTGGTTTTATTATTTGAATTCTGCTTTTAATAACTTTATGTGTAATCTGTCTGGTCTGCAATATGAGCTGTCACTACGTTCAACGCCGAGAATACGTCGCTTTATCCTGGGATTGTTCCCATTGAATATGTTTATCTTAAAGCGACTGTCGGGCGTTTAAAATCCACTTATTAGTGCTTGATTGTGTGTTTCTCCTTAGTGTGATAGCTTTTGGTAATATCTAGAGTGTATGTATTGAGTGACTCCCTTTTCGTAAACCCAATCTGTACCATACTGTTCCACTGCTTTTAGTCGATTCCGGGAGGTAATTAGCAGGAATTTAAGATATGATGTTCCTGTTCCACTTTTTGGATACGCTAATGAAAGTGATCTGGGGACTGGTTTAGTAGAATTTTCAGATAACTGCTAAAAAGCTGTCGACCCGTGTCGTTAGTATCCGTTTTGTCCACTGCGTGTGGAGATCTCTCAGATACAGATTGTTTTTTTTTTTCATAATTATTGTCTTTTTTTGTGCAAGTGTGTAAAGTGATGTTATCTGTGCGTTTGTATTTAAATTCTCGTGCAGTGTGTCGCAGCTTTAGCTACTTTGCCATGTAAAATGTATCTGATCTTTTTTTCCACCAAACAACGTGCATTTTAAGAATTGTGAGTGTTATCTGCTCTATCAATGGGGAACCTATTGCCTTCTTATGTTTCCCACAAAATAATAATTTAACACCACTTGTCGAGCAAAACCACATTCACTATTATGCACAGTCCCACCATCCATATTCAATTTCCTGATTTATTGAAGAGGACTACAGAGGAAATCAAACAAATTTCAGCCACAATTTCAATTAGAATCAAAGAGAGAAGGACGAGGGACAGGTAAACCATAAGAACCTTTGGAATTTTTCGTCCGCAATTTTTATTTGTTTCTGCGTTAAATCACTAATTTAGCCTATGGTCTAGCCAAGTCTTAGAAGAAAATAAGGGTATTTTTGGCTCATTTTTCGCAAATGCTATTTCAAAATTTATCTTAGTTTACGTGTTGCTCGTAATTATTGTGAATATTTTTTCTGCGAATATATGTGTTATTTTTTATGGTGGAGTTTATTGAGAATGTAATTTTCTTGGCCATTAATACTAACCCCAGTCACCCATATTGAAATGACGCACCAGTGTGGTTCTTTAATCGTCAGATTTCTCCTATTCATGGAGGATATGAAGCAAATGGCTGAGAAATTTGAGAGTGAGTTCGATGCCTTTGTAAAACGCTATGAGCAATACATTGAACTCTCTGAAAAGATAAAGGCGGACCAAAACGCTTGCAAACGCGACATCAAGCACTACAAGATGTACATCAAGATGCTTCGATCTAAGTTGTCTCGGTAAGGACGTGCGTGCGTGTGTTTATACCTTTGCGCGTTTGTAGGTTTGGTCAAGTTTTATGCGCAATCTGAGATGTAGACCCTTTGTGCGCCCTCTCCCTACAGGCATTTTCACCATTATCGAACTTCGTTTCGTGGATCTTAAGTGTTTCCGCTAAAATTGATTAATAAGCCTTAGCTTATGCAAATAAAAGCATTAATAGCTTACGCCAGTCATAATGACTCTTAGTTATAACTTCCTTAATCTCTTATTTTGTAGACTTGAGTCATCCCCTAATATACATGATCAAGTGGAGTTAGCCGTGATGAAGAACAGTTTCGAAGACAAGGCTCACATTCTCCGAGATATGGAAGACTGCCTTCCCAAACAAAATGGGTATGGGTGTCATTGTAAATGTTTATGATGACATTGTTGATAGACTGTATTTGAGAATCATTCTTGGAACAGTGGACGTTTCCTTCACTAGTAAACAGGATAAATTTGAGTATAAAAACAACTACGAGAATTTCAAGATCACCGTCTCTGCCATCATTAGCATCTACGCTCTCTTCCTTTACTTCTTCAATCAATACAGGTAAGCTTTTGACAAACTCAAGGACCTATTCTTATGTCAACTATTCAATCTTTGAAGGAAGTGAATTTGTAATCAAATCTAGTAACAGTAGTTTTGAAGCTCGTTTTTGTTGTTGTTCGAGTACTGTTCTTTTCCAGCAGTCATAGGGACCTATACACCCTCTTTTTGCTTTTGACGTAATATCGTTACTGACTCTTTCTTTAATAGTGAAGCCCTGAGTAAGATAAAAGAAGTTTTAAGGTACGTGAATTTAAGGTGGAAAGATAAATGGCATTCATGACTTGGCTGAAGACATCCATGCTGCTCTTATGCGTTTATCAACTCGATTTGCCATGTCAATGTTCATTCGCCAGAAGTAGCCTTATTAGCCTTTCACTACTAACTTTCTAGTTCTCTTCTAAAAGGAGTTTTCATTTGCTTCCTAGTTTATTGGATTCAATAATCCACCTTCTCATTGTTTGGTATTACTGCACTTTGACTATCCGTGAACGGATCCTTATGCAAAATGGGTCTCGTATTAAGGGTTGGTGGGCCATGTATCACTTTATCCTCACTGCTGAGGCGGCTGTCATGCTTATCTGGTATGTTGCAATGCCTTTTGGTATATCATTTTATTGACACTATATTTTGATTGTGTCTCATCAGAGTACTGTTTTTGTACAATATTTCTTTTTTAACATAAATAACCTGCCCTTAAATTGTTTGATGGCAGCGGGTTAGGGATTACCGAGGTCAGCGATGCTATTTAAAGGTGAGGCTAATATTCGTCCTCGTTTAAAGTTACAGTATCGACTAGTCTATTCGTGTGTCACCTCTGTAAAATACCATGAACGATAAACCAAGATTCTCGGACCTCTGTATTTTCTACAGAATTCATACAATTGGTATCGGCCTCGTCTAGAATCTTCTAGCATATCGCACTTTCAGTACGGTTTTTGTTATGTGCTGGTGTTTGTGTGAGCACGGACGCTACTGCGATCTCAATCGGAGTAATTGAGAGAGGGCCCTCGTACCGGTAACGTAGGTGCAGCCAAAGTACAATCCTTGCGTTCACGTCAGTCTGCTAGGGTGCTGGGGCGTGGGTTGGTCCCATTCTCGCTTATTTATAGTATTTGTATTGGATACGGCCTTATTGCGAATATTGGCACACTCAAAGTGCAACTACGCCATTATCGACCAACAAAGGAAGGCATCAGCGATAGCGCTATCCGTGGGGTGTTTCAGACCGTTTGAGAAGGGGAACCTGTAGCAAATTCTAGAACTGGAAAACAGGACCGCTATTTCTGGGGTTGTAGGCATCCCCAGCAGTTTTTCAGGCATAACTGATTGATTTTATTGCATAAGTTAATTGAATGCAGCAATTTTGTAAAGTAGTTGGATTTCTTGCATTGGTAGTAAATGCATTGATTGCCTCGATGATGTTTAAATGACCAAACAGCACTGCTTTTCGACTGCAGACAGCAGCTAGAAACGGAAATGCGACTTCTCGATAAGTTTCATACTGCAGTTCTCCCATATTTATTCTGATAGTTGCTTTTTTCTAAATACTGTCCGCCTGTTTCAAATCCGAGAACGCAAGCGTTTGTTGAGGTGCCGTCACGCTCATCCCGGAAGTGGTGGCCTTGCCCACTCGTTGCGTCTACATTGGTCGCTTGGGGGTTGTTTTGATCGTATTGTACATAGTTGCTGCTTGAGCTATTTTAAATCAATTAAAGTATTTTTTTGCAATTTTATTGCCTTTTTGAGCCATCTGGCCACTTTCTAGTGATTCTTCTGATCTACCTTTTTAGGCCATCGTCACGCTCCTACTCGGAGTTCCGCGACCAGTTCATGCTATACGTCTTTTATATACGTAAGCATTACTTCATGCTTTGATACTGCAGCACCAGATCTTGCTGATGCTGCAACTAACAGGTGGTTTGGGTGTAGACAACAGGAGTCAGAGTGTTGATAATAAACATAATGATGGAAGGGATCCGCAGGAGCGCTATGTTGCTAATCAACTGAATGGCATCGAAGGTTATATTTTCAAGGTCATGATATTTGGTCTGAGTGATAATATTCCGCTAATCTAGCAGGGTCTATTGTTTTTGTGCTTACATCTTATTTTTTTAAGATGGCACCCATCTGATAATATTCTATTAAGCTTTAGCTGCTCTGTGATAGCGTCTGGATAGTGGCGTTAACTGTGGAATTTCAACTGCCCACGGTCACTGTTTTATATTCACTTATGAGAGTAATTTTAACGAGTAATCGGTAAATGGATAACCAAGTGTGGATAGAATAGTTTAATGCTGGTGAAAGTCACTTTAAAGTCAACATTGCTTTACTGGAGTCATCTAGGTCTGTTTGGCTCGCTCTCCAATAGATTTACACTTTGCCTTATCCACTTCAAAGTTTTATTTTCCCCTATTTTTAGTCATTGTTCAGTGTATGCAATATTATTATCAAGTAGGCTGTCTATACAAGTTGAGAGCTCTTGGTGAAAGACCCTCCATGGATATAACAGTCGGTGGGTTTGCTTTTTCTATCCACTGGAGCTATATCTTGATTTCTAGTCATGAAAAGCCAGCTGCAATCATTGTTCTTTCGTGTCGTATTTTTATGATGTACATAGTTTTCACGAAAGCATATTATGTTCTGTTGCTTTATATTGCAAAAATCATTGAGCACGTGCCTTTTTGTCGGTATTAGATGGCTATATGTCATGGATGTCGAGCAGGTTGTCATTCGTACTCGTCTTCTTGCTCAGTGCGTACGCTTTCCAGATCCACAATGCCTATGTTCTCTATCGCATCTCACGGGCACCTTATTGTCAAGAGTGGCAGGTCAGTTTACCCTTTTTTCCTGTGTAATGGCCCAGTATGCGGCAAAGCCTCCCTCTTGCCACTTGCGGGAAAAGGCAGCATCTATTTATGTTGTCTCGTAGTTTCTGCAACGGTAAATGTATAGTGTATTTTTGCCGTTTTTCAATTGAATTCGATCCTATAATTTGCCTTACTGGAAAACCATTCAGTTTGGAACAGATCAATGAAGCTAGTTTTTGGGGTGCATTAGATTCGCACGGAGGTAAGATTAAAATAAAAATGACCAGGACTGGGAAATCAGGGACGTGGTAATGTGGCGACCCACGGGTTGCATCTGTTGCTTGTGTAGAGTGAAGCACACGCGAATTCGCACATTTTATCTGCATTCCTGTAAGCGGTAGAGTATTTGTCATCCAAGTTCTTGTAAGGTGCATGAGGTACTGAAACGCGGCATCAATTCAAAATTTGTTTATCGCTGTTACTCCATTCAGCGTTGATTGCAAAAACTTGCTAGTTGATAGGCTTTAAGTTGGAAGTAAACGAATTGTGCTTGCACTTTTCTACGCCTGTTTATGCATGAATTTCGGGAAGCACCTTTAGTTATCGGCTCAAATGACTACGATTAATTGCTGGAAGTTTGTCTATGTCACACTATTTGAATATTATCAGTTTTTGAGTACCACTGTGCGGATTTATTCCTGTGACCGATCTAGTTTGGTAAAGACTGTGGTAACGATGTTTTTCTGTTCAAACGCGTGAGCTCCGACACGCGGTCTCGGAGCCGCCTATTCATCGCCGCGTGCCGTTCAATAATAAACCTTCGTGATTACCCGAATAGGTACGACAGTCACGTCAAGCAGTGCATCAGTTTTCTAACCCCATATTTAAGCACTCCCTTGTAACTATGGCCGTCACCTAACTAGTATTCACGAGCGCGATCTTTTTACTGTCACGAATTGGTATTGTGTCAGTATATCCCTGCTATAATCACTTTTACACCAAGGTTATACATTTTTTCGAAATTGTATGCATTTTAATGTTTTGAATGGCCTAAATGGCTGTATGCATCATAGAGATGCTTGCAATGAATTCACACTCACAAAACCTGCCCTCACCATGTGTGCACGCAATTCACCTACATGAAGCGTAACCGTCTATGAGTTTTATCATGGTGTTGTCCACTCGGTGCACATCGATTTCATCCCCTTCGCTGCCTCAGCCTTACACTGTCTAGAATTAAACAAGCCTTTCCATTGTATCGTATTCAGGTTTTATACACTTCTCTTATCGGTTGCGGCATTATTCCCCCGTGTCTGCTTTCTTACTATTACAACAAACCTTCACTCTAGAGAAGACGCTCCCTCTCGCTTTGCTACGGTGACAGAAAATACTTTTATTTCTCCCAGCCAGCAGTCGTTGGACTAATCTACGCCTTTGTTGCCACTGGCAACCTTCTCACCACCCTCATGGTTGTGAAACAGAAGTTGGCCCTTCTGAATCCTCGCAAGCGCGGCTATCTGAGTAAAAAGTACAGCACCAGTTTTCATTTGGAGTCAAAAGGAGTAGTGCCAGACTCTCAGAAGGAGAAGTAGCTGAGGCCACCAATGAGGTCATTTGAACCGGTCTAAATCACTTTTTTGATTATTTAACGCAACTTATGTGTATGTAGATTCATTGATACGCGGGTTTTATACTTTTGTCAATTGAATCATTCCCTTAATTTCCAAGTATGCAATCCAACTCTTTACAACCTGCCTTTGTAACGGCCTCCCCTGGGAACAGTTGACTCCGTGTATTTTTGGTACTTGTTTACCAGAATATCAAGTCTTCAATTTAATCTTACCGCCCGTCCTGTTTGTCTCTCCCTCAAATTCTGCTCATTCGTACACCATCGCTGGCGGAAAAGGTCCAGTTGTGAAGGCAACTTTTATAGATTTGTTAGCAGGACCCTCAACTTTTGAGTGGCATTTAGTTCAAGTGAACGAACTAACGACTGCAGGTCGCGTGCTAACGCTTTTCGTTCACATCTTTATAGAATGGACTGCCTGATCTGGTGATTCAGTAGTGGTAAAAATTCAAATCATAAGACCGCATTACAGTGAAAATTTAGCAATATGTGCGCCCACAATGTCAATCCACCTAGAGACACACTACCAGTGATAGTTTTTGAATAAAAGGACCAAATAATCACAACGACCCAACCCTTAATTACTCCGTAGGGAGGGCAAGTATAAGGCTGCAATAAGGACTCTGAAGAGATGTTAGGTCCAAACGGTCTTCTTTGTTTGAGTAACGCTGGATTATGGAAGTGTGGTATTCATTAAAGCGAGTAATTCATGTCAGTAGGGAATAAGTATGGTGTCGGATTCTGAGCTATTGCGGATTTCTGAACCACTTTGAGTGCGAAACAGAGAGAAATACGAACTCAATAGTAGGAGATATAAGATTAGTAAATAAAACACTTCATGTGACGAATACATCAGGTGATTAAATGGTGCAGTCATGAAACCACGACGTTCGATTGTGCAAAGGACAGCCAGGAAGCGGGTTGCGCTAATGTGCCGTAATCGTCACCAGGTAAAAGCGGCCGTCTTTCTGCCTCCATCTCCGCCTCGTGAACGTCGAGGTGCTCCACCCTTGAGGCTAGGAAAATTAAGTAGACAGACTTAATATAAACTTATGTAGTTCCGGCAGAGAAATCCACTAGTCAGCCTCACCATCAACAATAAATTGGACACGCGCCTTTGCTGGCTCTAAGTACCAGGAAGCGCAAAGGAGTAGGAATCCGGATAGGATGCAAATGAATACATTAATAAAAAGGGCCCGTTGCATGCCCAGGTAGCGCGACATCACCGACTCAGGCGTTTGCTGAGCATCAGCGATCTGAAAATCGGATTAGGTAAGGCACCAAACGGCTTGGTGTATCTGATATGTCTTTAGTTGTGGCAACCAACTATTCCCTTTATGCTACGAACCATCCATAACATTTGCTTGAGGCAGAATCAAGCTTTGTGACCTGCAATTGATAAACTGAATTGGTTGTTTTCTGGTCTACATTACGCTTTGAATGCTCTGTGGATGACTGCGATTGGGGCCAAGACCTGCAACGCAACACACTCGGTTGGAACATTTGTTACGAACAAACAAATCCCAAAACAGCATCCTTCGGGGTGCAATTCGAATTCGCATCATGCAAGAAATTATTTTAACACTGGAGATCTACTTTCACTGCACTACTCCTTTCCGTGGGATGCAGTCAGTAAGAGCAAGTAGAAGCCAATAGATGGGCTTACGATGCCGATAATGAAGGGACTGATAGCATCACCAAAGGCATGCGTCATGAGCATCTGGAACGCATTGGCAGTCGCCCGACGAGTGGGAATTACAATCGACTGAAAGAAATAGAAGCGCACACCATTTCATTTGATTTCTTAGTTGTCGTTAATTTTGCGGGCGATTTTCAATTACAGTTCTACAAAGTACAAGCATATTTGAAAATGTATCTGATATTGAGACAGTTAACTTCAAAGCAAATATTTGGAGCTTAAACACGGAACAGCGAGAAGATTGTTGGGGTTTTCGTGATTTTGTAGACGCGAAAAATCACCTAGGTACGTTCCAATGAATGACGACTTCCATTAGCATACTAGTTTAAATAACAATCTGTTACGATTTGATTTGATTATTTGAGTCGAGAAAACGTAACTGATATACAGGGCAACTCTTTATCTAAGAAGTGGACAAGTCTTTTGGGAAAAAATGTAGTTGTAACACTAGTAAATGAATTAATTTTGAGATAGTAGATGACGGGTGTCAAACCGTGAGAAAAGGAGCAAGTAATAAATAATACGCGATAATGATAGCCATCTCAACCCTTGCAATACGTAAGAAGGAGCATCAATGGGCAATACATTACTATTTGATTCTAGGAAGAAGAACGTTTGAATATGCTTAAAAATCTTTAAGTAAAACCATTTACCTACCATTGTCATATCTGATATGAGAGGCCAATTCAGACAAATTAGAAATTGTCCAGCAAAAACAAATCCCTAAAATGTCAAGGATGTAAAGCATCAAATTAAAAACAGGACAAACAAAAGGGGTGTTCGTAACGTGCAGATGAATCAGAACGCTTTATACGTGGCTGCCATATTCAAAGCTATAACAGAAATACTTACCTAAAAGGCATCTTTTTAGTAAAAAGAAATCTTAACAACATAAATGAAAAGGTTCGACCAAGAGAAATGATTGAATGGATATATATCTGCGTTCTGTTTATCTAAATAGAAAGCCATACATCAATAAACGGTGCCGAACATACCAAGCATAAATAAAAATTGTAAATTGGTGCGACAAGGCCTGCAAACACAAAAGGAGCACTCAGAAGTAGACCCATCCCGCTGACGTAGGCATCAACAAGAATAGAATAGGCTCTTAATCTCTGTGCCAAGGAAGTACCCACAACAACACCCAGAAGACCCGCAAGGCAAGTGCTCAGGCCGAAAAGAAGTGCTACGCTATAAAAAACCATAAGTCTTTAACATACATCGGAGTTGGATTATTAGGTCCTGGTAAATGGGTGCTCACGGGTAGTCAGAGGCGTTTCCATGACATCTCGCATTTATGGCATCTTGAATATAGTCCACAGAGAACCAAGAAAGGGCACCAAGGACAAAACAATTGCCAGTGAATCCGACAGAGAGGAGCAAAAAACAGCGATTGGATGAGAGACTTCGAAGATCTGACCACCAAGAAGTTGCATGGAGATGAACTGCACCATCAGCCAGTCCACGTGGTGGATCCATGTGGAAAAAAACGAGGGCAAGTAGGCAAAAAAGTCCAAGTGGAGGGGTAATGCGAAGTGCCCATGCCCAATTGCTGGTAGCATGCGCGACAGCAGAGCCCAAAACGAAGCCAAGACCACTAGAATAGTGAAATAGAGTTTATTTGCAGGAATACTTACCTTCCCACGGGGACCGCAAAGTAGAAAAAACCGAGAACAGAGGTACGAGAGTTTCCAGTGAAAAGATCAGTTAGAATAGTAGGTGCCAAAGTGGAGTAACTAGCTTCACCAACGCCAACTATGCATCTTAGTATGAGAAATAGTCCGAAATTCTAAAGTACAATTTGGAATACAATAAAATTACGCTGGAAGGTACGAAAGAACTGGCAAGAGACACCATAGACCAAATAAAGAGCCCAATAACCAGTAGATATTTGCGTTTCCATCTATCGCCCAAGTAGCCAAACACAGGGCTCAGGAACATGTAAGACATTATAAAAGACGTTTGCAAAAGACCAAGCCGCTTGCTATCAATGCGGTAATAGCTCCTTATCATATCAGGAATACCTTTGGAAAAATAAAAAAAGGGAATACAAACCAGCGATTGTAAATCTATCCATGTAATTAAGGAAGTTGACGCAAAATAGCAAGAGCACAGAAGTCAAATGTGAGCTGTTAAGCCTTAAGATGGAAAATGGAGCATTGCGGAAGACACCATCATGAGCATTACTAGCAGCAAAATCCGAACCGCTAAGAGACATCACCTCAGAGGCACATAATCAGTATGTGAACGAGATTGTAGCGCATTGTGGGATGATTAAACAAGCGAATGAAAACCAAATTATTAGCTATCATTTGTAAACACAGGAAAAAAATGAAAACTGCCAAATTGTAATAATTTATATTTATTTGGTTGGTGAAGACTGTATACACCAGCTAGTATGGAAGTAAGCAAAACTTTTGGGATCAAAGAATTTGCAAAAAAGCTAACACTTTTAAAAACAAAGATGTAGAGGTATTACTAGTTAAAAAAATAAAAGCAATTTAAACATAAAAAGCAACAATATGTCACGAAAAAAAAATAACTTTAACAAAGTTTAAACATGTTAAATACGTAAGAATAGCATAAAATGCAAGCTCCTTTATTCTTGCAAATTACATAAAGATTTTGTTTTAACTTATTGACTAGAATATAAACACAATAACTAAAATAAGTTTATAATTGACTAGACATTTTAACTTGGTTCGTTTTAGCCTATTCCCTGCACTAAGTCCGGGCTACTTGAAAGCGTGCGGTTTTTTGTGCGACCAGCTCATGGTGCGTAATCTGGGTTTTTGCTTATCTCTTCGTGCATTTTAGCAATGACACTTGCGAAACTGTTAAAACCCGACAAAACGGCTCCCACCCCATTGGAGGAGGAAATCGCTGGTACCTTGGTGGACCTGCAATCACATGAGGATATGTCGGAGTTGGTTAAGATGATTTACTTTTGTGGTGCTAAGGTAAATTAGGCCGTGGAATTGATTTGGACTATAGGAGTTCTCCATCGGCCACGAAAAGGCTATTGTCATCTACGTTCCTGTCCCTCAATTGCGCACTTACCACCTGCTGCACAATCGTTTGGTTGGAGAATTGGAGAAAAAACTACGGGGTCCGCAGGTCTTTATCGTTGCTTTTAGGCGGATCTTGCCTAAGCCACGTAGGAAATGTAAGAGCAATCCCAAACAGAAGCGTCCAAGAAGTCGCACTCTTACCGCGGTTCATCAAGCCATCTTAAAAGACATTGTTTATCCTGCTGAAATTGTTGGTCAGCGTACTCAGGTTAAAATTGACGGGAGTTCGCTGATTAAGTGCCACCTTGATATTGCTCAGAGGAACTACGTTGAACATAAGGTAATTGATATTCAGGGTTGATTTCCTTTTAGCTAAAGACGATAACTGGATTGTACAAGAAACTGTCTGGGAAAGATGTGGCCATTGAATTCCCAGATTGGGTACTGTAAAATGACAATTTGCAAGGACGCGTTTTTTCTGGTGTTGTTGGCGTTCTTGTGTATTCCTTTCCCCTGGGCGGTTCCTGTGGGTCGGGGTTCCCTTAGCTTCGTTCGTCCTTGTGTCCGGCAGACGCTCTGTCGAGGTCGCCGTTTCCGTTAGAGGTTGGGTGGACTACTTTGGTGCTGGGTTGCCCTCGCCGGGGGCTGCAACTTGCCGCCTCTTTTGGTTTCATGTCGTCTCGGGGTGGTAGTTCGCGGTGGTTCCGCATGTCCCCTTGTCAGGTCGCGGACGGTAGTTCCTTGTGGGGGTCCCTAAAAGTTTAGGGGATTCGTTTAGGTTCTAGCGGTGCTGGGCCGGTTGTCACCTTTGGACTGCCTGACAGCTTGCTTTTGTGTCGTTTCGACATACCTGATTTATGATCTTGACAGCATGATTCGCAGAAGGGTTGAAAAGTAATAATAGCAAACTGCCAGTTCCTTCAAAGTTTTGTATTTACGTTACTATGTTCG